CAATTCAGAAAGAGTCAAAGAATTGCGATATAACTATGTGCAAGTGAGTCCTATACAATCCCACAATTGATGCATACTCTCAACACTGTATAAATTATACATATTTCAGTATTGTAATCATAATGATTGTGCTTCACAATAGTGACCACTCCATGTCTATTTCTGATATTGTCATGTGTGTTTCAGAGAGTCCTTGAGCTAGAGGTGGATGCAGTGGAGCACCAGTTCATCTTCATTGATGAGGTTGGATTCAACCTCACAAAAAGACGAAGGAGGGGAAGGAATATCATCGGCCAGCGTGCCATTGTTGAAGTCCCTGGCCAGCGCGGAGGGAACATCACAAAGTTGCGGAGTGATTACCCCACACCGCCGTCATACCATCACCGATCGGTACCCTTGGGCCCCCTACAACAGCTGCCCAACTGGTCACATTCCTGGACACCCTACACAACACACTCATTCCACCAGATCAGATTGACGGCCCAGAGCAGCTCAGGTACGTTGTCATTTGGGACAACGTAAGTTTCCACCGGGCTGCTCTGGTTCGTAACTGGTTCACTGCCCACCCACGCTTTTTAGTTGTTTATCTCCCTCCATATTCTCCATTCCTCAATCCTATTGAGGAATTTTTTTCTGCCTGGAGATGGAAAGTGTATGACCGAAATCCACAAACGCATATACCCCTTGTCCAAGCTATGGAATAGTAGAGACATTTTTAAAGTTTAAAGTATGTATAGAAGGCAGTGCTGACAGACTAGAAAATCACACCATCAAAGCTTTAAAAATGTCTCTACTATTCCTTTTGAGTAAAGAATACTTTGTTAACTTTTATTTTTCACTCTATGGTGTTTATGTAGGTTGGGATTTTTCTTCTTTAGAAGATAATATTCAATTACTGAAAGGGATCTTATATAGACATGTTCATTTGATCGCCAAATGACATGACCCTCATGACTAGCTAGTTGGCACAACCCACAGACCCGTACTCATAGTTATGTACATTTACAGGACTTTAAGCCACCCCATCACTGAATCAGGTTTGCCAACATTCAGGAGAGACAAGTTTGGGTTATCAGATGAGCTTCACAATTCCAGGATCTTTTCAACATTCCAACCACGCTGTACAAGATCTCACTCACAAGTCACGGCTTTGTGTGGGTTCAGGTACACTGACAAAGAGAGATTTGCAAACCTGCTCTGGTTCTCCAGGTCCTCAACAGATTCATCTTTTTCCAGTTGTTTGACCCGAGTGGAAAGATCATTCAGGTTGCCCTAATTTGCTCCCACACCTCAATACCATTCAAGGTACAAAAAATGGGATCCACTTTTGTGTCAAAATAAGTCATCATGTCAGTTTTGATCTGATAAATATATGGTTTTTATCTGAACACGTTTTGAGACTTGTCTTAGGAGTTGGCAAAAACAGAAAGAAATGTGTCTTTTTGCCACAGTTGAGAAACTTAATACTTTAAAGCGACAAGATTATTTGACATGATGAGTCCATGAAATGTCTGTTCAGTCTCTTCTAACTCCGTAAAAACTCCGTAATGAGGTTTTATATTTGTAAAACTTTCCTAGAGCCAAAAAAAGTCAAAAGTTAAAATCTGTGACATCATCACAATGTAAGGTCTATGGGCCAGGCGGGGCCAGCGGCAGAAACATTACTGTGCATATTCAGTGGACCACATACCCCAGAATTATTGATATAACTGTATTCTAAAAGACAACGGAATATAACCTGACCTGTAAATGTTAATCATGAAAAATTCATCCTCTGCTCAGTGTAAAAACTGTATATTTAAAATCATAATTCTACTAATAATCTCAATTATTACTAAATTTAACTGTAATCTGATTACATATCTTACATATTATAGGTTACTCCCCAAGCCTGTTGATCATAGTGCAAAAGTTGTTAGTGCAAAACTGTGCGGTAGTACAAAATTGTAAACTATTTACTATTTTAGCTGCGGATAGTTTTTGTGAAGAATATGTGAAGAATGTGTTAACAATTTAGGTCTACTCTCTTTAATCAGTTTTTGTAAACGTGTGTTTCCAGAGGGGGTAAGTGGGACGGGGCTGTCAGCACTAGAGGCGGAGAGGAAGCTTTCACTGCGCAAACATGAAATACTTGGGCCACAAAAGTAGCTGTCATTTATAGTATGACAAACAATTCAAATGAACCATTAATCACTCACATCATTAGTTATAGACATATCCATTCTGCTGTACATATTGTTGTCGTGTGCAATCATTTATTTTTACACCATGCAACTACCTCCTGCTGTGACCTGTGCAATTTTCCATTTGAATCACAACTGTATATAAAAATCCATATAGTGTACAGACTCCTATTCTATTTTCACTAAACCTTGTACTTTTTTCTATTCTATTAATTTAGAATGACAATAGAAAATGTGTATTGTTGATTGTTTCATTCACTCATGACTTTCAATCACCCCTGCTCTATAAATATTAACTGTGATATTAACATTACATACGCAACCATACAGAAATTAAAAGGCCAAAAAATAATGTACAAATCAATACACAAACATAAAAAGTGAAAAGAATGTTTATTCAGACAACATCCGTTCAAAGCATGAAAAAATGTAAACACACCACATAGATTAAAAAAAGACTGATCACAATCGCTAACTTCTTGGCTATCACATACCAAGCATACGTTATTGCAATACAAATAAGCTTGCGTTTGCAGATAATGCAGATAGGATTTCTTAGCATTAGCCTGGTTCTCATGAGCTCTTTGCTCTAGCGAGGTTGAAAGCCCCGATGTGGACCTCCCCTGCCCCTGAACCCTCCCCTGTCCCCACGGAAATTTGGTCTGTTTCTTTCACGACCCCTGTCTCCACCTCTTCCTGCGTTTGGCCCGCCACGTCCACCTCTGGGTGCTCCGCGACCACGGTCCGACTTCAGCTGAGGAGGGGGGGACTTGGGCCGCAACCTCTCTATTTCCTCGGTGCAGCCAGAAAGGTGCGAGTTGGGCAAGGAAAAATGTGAGGCATAAGTCTCTGGGTTAAAGTTACTGTTTGTCAAAGTAGGACCCACTGTCAGCCAGCCTGGAAAGAAAGGAAACAAAACATCATGGATATTGAGAAACAAGCAGAGCCACAGAGGAAGTTAAGACACTAAGAAACTTCTCCATGGAAAGAGTGAGTCCATCTCACCTGGTCTGATGGTTGAGTCTCGTCCAAACAGGTGCAACCTCCTGCGGCCCAAACAGAAATGCTCAATGATGTGGAAGATCTCCACTGGCTTCTCTACATTTCCCATCTCAGGCTCCTCAGTGATGATCAAGTCAATGTCCACATTGGCATGGATAAAGTCACCATCAGTACTCCTTCGGACTGTTCCTTTGATTCCCATTAGGCAGTGCTCCTGGAGGGAGTGTGTTGTAGATCACAAAATACAATATAAACTGGTTTAACTTTAAACATATCATGTGCAATGGTCTTGTAAACTTTACATCTACAAATGTCAAGGAAATCAGATCCCAATGTAATAAGATTATGTAATATTTCATGAACATGTACATATATTTCACATTTCTGCTCAGTCTGTGTTTACTGTACCTTGGTCCTCTGGAATACTGCTTTTGGGTCCAGTGCCTTTGTCTTTCCTGGGTTGTTCTTGTTGGTCTTGATCCAACAGATATCCTCACACCGTCTAAAGCCCCACTTCCTCAAACACTGAAATTGACATATTAAAGGAAGTACTGATTATACAATAGGGCTTTCTCTACCCATCTACTGTATGGCACACCATGTAGCCAATCATACATAATTTAAACTTAATTACAAAATCCAGTGTTTCAGAGAAACAAAATTTCTGAGGTGCTGACAATCTTAACAGCTACTCTGGGTCTCTAAAATTTACCTGAGATTCTTTCCTTCTCACTTTTGAGTAGATCATGTCTGGATTTTATTTCAGTTTGGCTGGTCCATTGTTCTTGTTGTTTAAAGCTATCTGAGATAAGAATAGTTGTGACGCCACTGTAGAGCAACAGCCCTAACATAATGTTATTGTACTATAAAGACGATCTTCCTTCCTTTGTCTTTCCTTTCTTCAGTTTTGTCCAGACCCACATAGCTTTTTGGTGCTTTTGCTAATGGCAACGTGTTTAAAACTCTTCATATTAGACCAAAATTTCCTGCAGTCACACATCATCTTTACTTTTCTTAAAATATAAACGTTCAAATGTAAAAACTGACGTACGTTTGCCTCAATACAAACAAATCTTTGGTTTAATGACATTTAGACAGACAGTGGGGTAAACTGTGACCACATCCTCAATGTGACTCCACCCAAACATGTCACTATGTCAGTACTATGTGTCAGTACTATATGACCACCTTCAAATCTATCTGTTGTCATAACACTTAGCAATTGCATAACTTACCTGCACTCTGTACCAGTGACTTGCTGAACTTAGACTTTGATAAATGTGGTGTCATTTAACAGTAAACAGTGAGCAGTAAACACACATGCTTTATGAAACCAGTAAAGAACATGAGATACAATTCGCACAATTTGTAATTTAATTTGCTTTTTGAGTAAAAGAAGGATCTTATTACCATTCTCCCCAAGTCCAGGCCTTCACCAGAGCCACACCAGAGAAAGACAAAGGAACGTAGCGCTGATATCTCCTCAATTTCCAGTTTCATGATCTAAAGCAGAAAGTAGTGAAGGGAAAGAGGAACATGATGCCATAAGAATGATCCAAGCAGAGTTAATAAAGCATTCATTTGTTCTTGTCATGAGAGAACAGGACAGTTTATCCATCCAAAACAGGTCTTCACATTGGTATTGGCACACTGGCACAGCCATTTGGATTTCTTGTTGCCTCCTACTGGGAGACTATTTATTTGCATTCCCAAGCTCTTAACATTGTTTGGGATGTCCATATCATTATCAAACATACCTCATATTTGTGTTACATATTTACATACCAGCACAAACCAGACAAAAATGCATACATACATCATCCCAGGTCCAGAAACGTTCAGTGTGGCTGATGCCTGATTCTCTGTAGTATTCCTCTAAGGGAGGTTCCAGCAGAATTACATCAAACTTGCACTTTAAATCCTGCAGGTCAAAGTGCTCCGGGTCAGCCTGGAGGTACCTAAACACAAACACAAACACACAC